AAACTGCAATGGTACCGGAAAGGCCAGTGGTGTAAACTCAAATGGCCACAAAGGGTGGCCTGAGAAGCACCGAAAAGGCAACAAGGTATGCGCTTCTTGACTGGAAACCCCTGTGTGTGTCGGGTTTTCGACTTCCGAGGTTCTTGAGAAGTTGTTGTGTGAAATTTTTCCACCAAGCAGCACACCACGAACACAAGTAACACACTCAGAGAGGCCTCAAGAAAACTGCTGTGGAGCTCCAGCAAGTTTCTGGGAACGGACAATGAGCAGGTGAATGCAAAAGGGGCAGGAAAAGGATGAGAGGGAAAGGGCAAAGGTGGCAAGGAAGTGAAGGACTGCATCTATGACGTCCTCCTTGTGAAGGTGCCAACTTTCATCAAGGAAGAGTCCGATGGAGACATCTGGAACTTACAGAAATAGGACACAACTATTGTCGAAACTTCAAGCGTTTCACCTCAGAGGGCTCGGAAAGATTCTATATATATATATACTGTAATTCTATTGAATTCTTGTTTCTAATAGCTTCTTGCCTAGTAGTAAGGCCAGGAGCCCCTAGTAGCGCCCTTGTTCCTAGTAGCGATGCCCTTTGCTCCTAGTAGCGTCCTCTCTTTGTCATTCAACATTATAGTATAAGCCTTCAGAAGTGCAAATGCAGTCTTAGCCTTTCGGCGCGGAGAAGCACATGTGCAAACCATAAAGGACATGCTTGCATCAACATGTTGTGAATTCATGCATGTGAGCCCTTCAGAGAGGCTGTGCAAAACCTAATCTCACCTTCGACCGGAGAGTTGGTCGGCCCCGTAAACCTTGGATCGAATCCTCAGATCGCGCGGGAGAAATCCCACAACGCTCCATTCACCAACTTCAGCAACTCGTGCTAGATGCTTGTGCTTCTCTGTTCTTACCAGGCTTTCGTCTGGACTCCGATATTGTTCAACAATAATAATAGTAATAGGTCATGCTGATGATTCATGATAACAGGAAAGGCTGCGTGCAACCGTGCAAACAAGAGAACTGACCTAATTTGTTCTCTCATGTGACGCTCACTTATCAATCCCCGTCACAATTTCCACTATGAAATGGGTGACCTCGAGGCCCTGATTAAAAAATATTTGGCAGTAACATCTGTTTGTGAGCATGTCCGAGCATTTCGTAGAGTCGTAGAGGCCCATTTTGTAGTGGAAATTGGTGCTTTAGTTTGGAGGTTTGGAATGCACTTTGTAGGACCGTATTTCTTAACTCAAGTAGAGGTATGCACCCCATCCTGTAGTGAAATCCAGTGGTTTTGACATGCTTCAAATGCTGTGGTCTGGACCTCATGTTATAAGGGAAAGTTGTAGTTGTCTGATAGTAGGCATTTGGGTTCAAGAACTGTTGAGTTTGACAGAGCACTGCACATCATGTTCATTACATTATGTTTGGACACCCAACTTACAAACTGCCATGGACTGTTTGGTGGGTCCCTGGTCGTCTCAGTCATCTTCTTGAAACCTTGCCCAAGCACAGCAACCAAAGATCCAGGAAGGCAAGAAGAAACCAAGATTTACAAAGTGATTTACAAGCTTCTGGAGGCCACCACCGTCAGATGAACAAAAAAGGGTTTCAAGAGAAGCTCTTTAAAAGCTGGGGAGGATCAAATTTGTGGATGATAAATCGACAGGTACTTATCATGACTTGTGCCGAGGTACGGGCCCTTTTTGTAGTAATTATTAGTCATTGTGCCGTCCGGGACATGGGTCTTTCATGCCCGGCATTTTGTAGAGACCCCGAAGCCCACGAACACATCCAGTAGAGGATACGCTAACTACAAAATGGGGCGGCATGACCTCACCATGGAAATGCACTCCGGGATACTTATCAAGCAAGCTTGCTTAAGCCGGTCTGAGATGCCGACGGGTGTTTGTATATGGCTCTTGTACTTGAATTGTTTCACTTCAATTGACATGGCATAGTGAGCGAGCGAACTCGTATACATGAAACTTGTTGGGATGTAGGGCGTTGGCAAGCTTTAAAACATAACGATGCAAGAGGAACAAAGAACAAGGCCGGGATGGAAAGCTGCTTCAGCAAAGAACATGTTCAGACCGGCAGATCTTGTTCACAGGAGCGTCGACCACAGCGCCTTGATCTTAGCGTCGACAGATTTTCAGAAGCACTAGATATAGATGTCAATACTTGTGGCGATTGCAGGGCACGGGCTTGACGAGCTACCTGTTCCCAATCGGCCAGAAAGGGCGAGACAGGCAGATGCTTCCGACTTTCCTTCGTCAGTCACTCTTGCAATAGACATATTGTGGATTCAGATTCTCTTTGGATTCTCATCATTCTCATCCCTATTATATATGGATTTCCGCACTGCACTGCTTCTTTAAAGTTATTTGGCCTGACTCTCCTTCGCTAATTCGCCAGGATAGGCTGCACAGAGAACGAGAAGGCCTGTCGCATCAGCAGCCTCCTGGTCGACAGGACCAAGAGGAGATTTCGATCGTTGTGTGCTGGTATCATCATTCTGATTCATTCTATAGAACTGTTCTGCCTGGCCCTGCATGAGTGTGCACAGTGCGCACCTTGGAAGTGCAGTGTTGCAGGAGCACAGGGCATCCCGTTCGTTGCCCAGACCCATGTGCTTTCAGTGGAGAGTGTAACTGCGAGGGTTCCTTTTCGTCCTCTTCTGCTAGGCTCGATTGGTTTGGCATCACAGGGTGATCGGCCGATTGGTGCTCGCAATGACGATCACCGTTACAAGGAGCATCCCTGGTATTGTTTGTCATTTTGTTTCATTCGGTGTTGTGCATTTGTGCATCTCTATACATCTTCTTTTTGAACAGGATCGGCGGCGAGATGGGGAGAGCCAGTCGCACCATGCGGGGAACAAAGCTGAAGAGGAAGAATGATTTTTTTTCCTCCCGACTTTCCGACTTTCCGAGTTTTGCCGTTTTCGCATTTGCATTTCGTTCCATCATTTGAGCAGGCACGTCGGGCACCCCGTCATCGCCCCAGGGCCAATAGACTGATGAGAGGGAGAGAGGGGACAGACAGACAGAGTGGTAGATATGTAAGTGAAAGCCTGTTTTGTTGTGCGTACATTTGCCATGACGCACTCGCGGCCCTCACCTCGCTCCTGGTGGACAAAGGTGTTTCACCGGCACATCCAGAAACCAGGAAAACATGCAAGCATTGCAGTCCCAAAGATTGAGTGGCAGTTTGGGTGGGAGTACGAGGTGCAAATGCATCAAGTTTTGGGCAGAGCCTGCCAGACGACAGGGACAACCTGCGTGATAAGGAGCCTTGAAGAGCAGCTACTGTAAAACCCTAAGACCTGGCACTAGTCTTGTGCTCAACCGCCCAGAAGCGATTGCCTTTCTCCGCTTCCAGGAGCCTAGGGGACATGCAGCCAGCTGGCCACCTAAAGACAGATGTTGAAAGCCACGCCAGACTTTGCCCCTTCAAGGTTCGCATGATTATCGCGGAGACCGACACGCCCAGCTAGACCATGCCAATGAAACCCATCGGCATGCAGCCTGGCAGAATGACTTCAGAGACAAGGAGCTGTGCAAGTTTGCATTTTTTGAGTCGTTTTGTGTTCTTTTTGCCCGCTTTTTGCTACTAATAGCGATGCCCTTGTTACTAGTAGCAGGGGCAGCTTCTAGCTACCACCATTTGAACCGTGCTTCAGGATCCGTGGGACCACAGTTGCACACTCAGATGATATTATACAATTATGAGGGAGTCGTGTTCTTTTTCCCAATCGGGCGTTGCAGTTCAGTTCCCTATCCTGGCTTGAGGTACAAACAGGCGCAGTTCCATTGGCTTTGAAGAAGGGCTTGAGGAGGACTAATTGATATTGGCCGAGTGTGGAACAAGGCCGGGATTGGTGTATGATTGCACTTGCGTATGGGAGGATGGCCAAGAGCATCGCAGGGCTCCCAGCTCCTGAGCATTCTGAATGCTACTGATGGCAAACTTGCGAGTGCATCACTTTTGCTCACTAGCTTTCGCTACCAAGGTGTTTGGCGGGAACACCGTTCTGCCAAGCAATGGAATACACGTCGCCCAAAGGACTCGGCTGAAGTAGGCTCACACAGAAAGTAATAAAAAGTACAGAGGATGGGTTTGCTTTTGATTCCATCACATTGTCACCCCATGGCTAGATGCAATAGCTTTAGCTACAGCAGTTTCCTCTCCAGGATGGCACGTATGCAGAGTCTGCACGGCAAGAGCGGCAGGCACATTCTTCCGCAAGATCGGCAGTTTTTGGATTTCAGCATTTCGACATCTTGCGGAAGAGAGCAGGAAGCAAGCCTCGCCAGGATGCGCGAAACCCTGCCAGAACATGGTGTGAAGCGATGCCTGGCTCACTGATTATGTTTGCAGTTTCAGAGAAATAGACACTTCTGACAAGACGTCAGCTGTTGACCCTTGACCTTGGCTACTCCTTGTATGGCTTGCAGTGAGCAAAGGGTTTTGTCAAAGCTCTGGGGGATACTTTTGTGCCCCAGCGGCACTCAGGACCCCAACAAGGACTCCAAGGACGCGCAGATGAACGATCACATAATTCCCGCTCCTGTGATGGACCCTTCCTTTATCTGAGGTGGCCAGAGCTGTGCTAGGTGCCTCCTTGGACAAGTGCTAGCACACAGGTGCTATGCACACAGGTGCTGCGCACCTTGCTAACGAAAATGCACCGAAATCAAGCTTGGGTGTACCGGTTTATTAGCAGGTCATGCATGCACGCATGGATTACCAAATTGACTTTGGAGAGTTTATTAGTGCAGCTCAAATTGCAGCTTTTTGGCCTGTCTAGTGCCCCTTCTGCAGACATGTGGGCTTTGTTCAAGCATGCGCATTCATGTTGGCACAGATAGGGAGAGAAGAGAGAGAGACAGAGAGAGAGAGAGAGAGTGCCGGAATTCCGGGCGGTAAATCGGAAACCAGCAACATGAACACATGCACACTTCTCAATATATACCGTAATAGATTTTCCATCTTCAATATTGGCATGAAGCTTCAAAGCAAGCCGGCGCAATGGATGAGCAGTGCAACCTTTTTGGAAGGTAGGGTTGGCAAATGCCCACTGAGCTTGGTTGTTCTCAAGCAGGATGAAGAGGGAGGTGGACATTTCTTTGTGTACTTTTGTGCCGATAAGTGCAGGTATTAATTAGTGATATGACTTTCAACTATCAATGACAGCGTGGCCCCGGATGCTGTGTGTCACAGAATCCTGAAGGTTTGGTGCCGCCAAGAAAGGACCAGTGACGGCACTGGTGCAACAAACAAATGACTACATGGCACTGTGGCAGACTGTGGCACTGTACAGGGGAAAGAGTTTAGGATCTGGAAAGATAAGCAAAGCCAGAACACACATTTTTATAGCAATGTCATCATTGGTTCACTTCCTGGATTCGTCCTCTTCGGTTGATTCGTTTTTTGATTGGCCTTGATACGGACTATCCAAGGACAGTCTTTGTCCTGCCTTGCTCTGACTCCAGTTCACATTACTCTACACTATGTTACGAAAGCCAGCCTTCGTAGAAGGCGCTAGCGGAGTTGTGTTTGGCGAACGAAGTAAGTAGTTAGGGGGTCTGGGGGGGGGGTGGCCCGGGAAAGGTACACGTAAACTCGGCACATGCTGGGGGAGGAGGGTGCGTCGAGGGAAGGTTTTTTGAGGTTGTGTTGGAGGTGATTTTTGAGGGGTGATGCAAGAAATGCAATCTGCATCATTTGCATCATTTGAATGGAAAGGTGCAGTTGGCACCTTGCCAGGTATAGAGACCCAGGGTAGCTATAGTGCAGCTACCAGGTATAGTACTTCAAGTTCCCTTTCCGTCAACCGCTCGATAACCTCTACACACGCACAGCAATCCACAGCTTTGAAGTCTCATTCGTGCTTTGAACTTGTATAGGTGTGTAAGAGGTATAGCAACATAGTATTTACCAGGCTACCGCCTGCAGCCGCCGACCCCCAAGGGATAGAACCTTAGCGCTAGCCTTGCTCTATGTTAGCCTTAGCCTTAAGCCTTAGCCTTAGCCTTAAGAGTGCAGACCCAACCCAGCACCACCAAAGCAGGTACCCAAAAAGTCGACTTTTTGGGTACCTCCCAGATTTACCATCGGACGTCACCTCTTGCATGAACCCCGATCATTGCCCAAGAATTTAGACCCAACCCTTCACCACCAAAGCAGGTACCCAAAAAGTCGACTTTTTGGGTACCTCCCAGGTTTACCAATTTAGACCCAACCCAGCACCACCAAAGCAGGTACCCAAAAAGACAAAGCCTAGAGCATTCCTAGGAAAATGCCAGAAAAGCCTTTGAAAATCTCATAAGCCAACAGAAAACGTGACAAAATCTACGAAAAAGCAAGGGCATTGGCCGGGACCATGCCGCGACCAGCCCGGGATTCGAGCCCAGGACCATTTTGGACCGTGCTTATTTTCCCGCGCGGGTCGAGAGGGTGCCCCAAGATGTAAATCAATTGGGATGGCAGAATCTTGGACAATTCCCGGGTCGCTCAGGTCGCTTTCAGGGCGGGATTTCGTGACTGCAACAAGGGTCCGGAGGGGTAGGGGAGGTAAGGTCTAGGTCTAAGGTCTAAGGCTAAGGCTACGGCTAAGGCTTAAGGCTAAGGCTAACATCGACAGTCACGCCTCACCCCACGGTGTGGGGTCGGCGGATTTATACGGACCCAGGGTAGCTACAATTCTGTTCCCAGGTATGGCACGCATGAGGCTTCAAAGCTGTGGTTTTCAAGCAATATTCAAGGTGGCTTGAGACCAGGGTTTGCTGCCCTAAAACACTCTGTTCAGGCCACCTTGAAAATGAAGGTCTGCGAAGCGAGAGCAAAGGAGTTTCCACCTCCTCGCTTCCCAGTCTTCCCAGGGTTCATATAGGGAGCCAGGCCATTTTCAGAATCTTCTGGCTGTTCGAGTTCCTACTGAAGGGTATATGTCACATTCAAGCAGCAGAAGGACAACATGCATCCTCTGCTCTCGCTTCGGTCATTTTGAAGGTGGCCTGAACAGAGTGTTTTAGGGCAGCAAACCCTGGTCTCAGGCCACCTTGAATTTAGCTTGAAAAACTGGTTGTTTGAACAAAAGGGTGCATTGTTTTTGTTTTGACATGGTTACCTATGTGTGGGCAGAACAAGACATGAAGCAGATTTGACACGCGGCCGCCAGCGGCTGCGCGAGCTCATTTGATTGCTTCGACGCGCCGTTGTCGAGAAAGGGAAGCGCCGGCTTTCGTTTTGCAGCTTCTCAGGTTTGTATGTTCAATCAAATCTAATTCTCCAGGCTGGCATCATTTTCAGCACTATAGGCTCTTTCAGAAACTTCAAACATTAATTAATTTGCAGGCTTCTTTCTTTCTTCTTCTTCTTCTTGTGTACAGGCAGGGTCGAGCAACGTAGGGGCTACATACAGCTCACTTGTAGCCCAGAAGGGTAAAGCACGCCGGATTGTTTTCATCGCTTCTTACTCCTCACTCAATACCCAAGGCTAGACATCCTGGTCAAACTTGATGGCGCCCCGTATGTTCCTCGAAGTGCTACCTATTGCAAGACTTGAGACCTTTTCAGCATTGCAAGATCCTGGGCGGTATTGTAACAATTTGTAGCATTACGGGTTCACTTAAGACACTGGTGATTTATGTGGCTCCGTGTTTTAAGCATGTTGTTTGAGCACTTCTGCAGACAATGAATACCACTTTGGGGTCATGAGTGCGATCCTCTCATCCAAGGTGCAACAAGACGCATGAACCTACCGACTCCCGACAGGACAGCTAATGTAAAGTCAGGATTAATAAACCCCCCCTAGTTAATCCGAGCCCACAAAGCCGCCGGAAATTGCCCAAATTAAAAGTATTATTGGCTGTTGATTTCCCCCCCTATGGTCTAATTTTCTACCAACAACCCCCCCCAGTTTATCCGAGCCCACAACCAGGTCAATTTTTCGTATTACTACTACTACTACTACTACTCCTGCTGCTGCTGCTACTACTACTACTACTCCTGCTGCTGCTGCTGCTGCTCCTGCTACTGCTACTGCTACTAGCTATTGCTGCTGCTGCTGCTACTGCTACTGCTACTGCTACTACCACGACCAACACCACCACCACGACCATCACCACCTACTACCTACTACATGTTTGATGAAATCCTTAAAAATGTCTAGGGCTCAGGGCCTATAAATTGCCTTATTAAAAAACAATTAAACACAATCATTTGACAAGCTCACAAAGGGTACCCCTCACAAGGGCCGGTCCCCCATCAATAATCTGCACTACTACCTCCTATTAATTTGACCCCTGTGTCCCTGGCCTTTTCTTTGTGCTTGTTTAAACTTGTTGTGACTACTACTACTACTACTACTACCTACTACCTACTACCTACTACCTACTACCTACTACTACCTACTACTACCTACTACTACCACTACTACCTACTACTACCTACTACCTACTACTACCTACTACTACCTACTACTACCTACTACTACTACCTACTACCTACTACTACCTACTACCTACTACTACCTACTATACACTACTACCTACTATACACTACTACCTACTACCTACTACCTGCAACCTACTACCTACTACCTACTACCTACTACCTACTACTACCTACTACCTACTACCTACTACTACCTACTACTACTACTACTACCTACTACTACCTACTACTACCTACTACTACTACTACCTACCTACCTACCTACCTACCTACCTACCTACTACCTACTACCGACGACGACTACGACTACGATGGCTCCCTGAGCCGACAATTCAGGGGGAGTGGACCTCATGAGTGGTTATCCCACGTGTGGGGGGGGGGTTTATTAATCCGGTCTTGTCATTACAGCCCAACGTTATGGGGTCACAACTGCTCTCGCATCATCCCGTGCACGCAGCTGTTTCGGGTTGTCGCTCTATTTCCGTTTTTTCGATAAATCCGCCAACGTAGTCAGAAGAGCTGCGCGGCGTCGCTGGCGTGAGAAAGGAATCTCATCGCTTTGCGTCGCTGACCCATTGCTGAAATATAGTTTTCACACCACGGAGCAACATCGGTGTCAATCACAACTAACCTCACCACTTTGGTCCCAACCTACACTGTCCTACACCCCCCATCCACGCCGAAAGGCAACACAACGAACGCAACGAGCGCCATTTGTGGCGACATCAGTAGCCCGGCGGCACCCACACGAACGACAAGCCGCACACAACGAACCTTGTTTTTGAGCGAACCCATCAAGTTGACACATGCGTGATCGCTGCGCTGTGACACATGACGAGGGGTTTCGGGCACTAAGTTCAAAAACGTGACAAGCAGTATGATTAGCGATTCTGTGCTGTAGGTGTGCATAAACGTGGGCTCATCATGAACGACGCCAATGACTGCATCTTGGCAAGTTGGTCCAACCAGCCTTCAGGCCTTCAGGGTTCTCGGATTTTGGTCAGTTTTGCCTTGCTAGCTAGCCGGAAGTGGCTCCTCGTGCCCGGTGGAAGAACCGTCGAGAGTCATGCAGAATGCAATAAGGACCACAGAGGGCGAGAGAGAGACAGTAGGAGAGAGGAGCAAATGGAGCAAGACTTGGGCAAGAGAGGGAGAGATAGAGACAGAAAGGATAGGAAAAGAAGGAAGGCCAGCAAAGGGAAGAACCAAAGGGAAAAACGATCAGTATACAGGCTTCGTATCGAAATTCACTATAATATTGTAATATATTGTAATAAGAGTGGAATGAACACTCATGGCCCCACAAGATCAAGCACCGGGAAACTCGAGTTAATCATTTGTTTCTTTCACATACCTAGATGAGTTTGCTCGACTCTTCCTAGACGCATCCACAGTTTTCGAAAAAGGCGGCTTTTCAGCCAAGAACATGATGACAAGAGTAGTACAATCAGCACTGTTTTGTGGCTGGGACGAGCACGACACAGAAGGTGGAAAAACAAACTATAACGCTGCATTTGAGCTTCTGTAAGTCCAGTTGCACAAGCCCGCGTTTCTACTTGATGGGCTTGTATTCTCTTTCTCCCTTCCATCCGCCGAGGCCAACGCTTCACATGACCTCGTCGTGTCCCGAGAGCAACGCTTTGATGCTTCGACTTTGGAGCAGTGAGATTCCTCACTTTCATCCTGATTGGTCGTTGAACATGAAGTAATGTTAAGCAACTCTATTGAAAAAAGAAACTTGCACACGGCGACCTAGGGCAATTCTCGTTGTCTCTGATGCAGCACCTGGCATTTGCAGCGGCCTTTTAACAGCTTTTGACGCTGGCTTTCGCCTTTTGGGTGGTCAGGTGAAGCTTCCGGATCCTTGCCGTGGAAAGAAGCTGATGCTGTAGGCAGAGTGGACTGGGCAAACAGCACCATGGGTGATCCTCTCGCTTTGGAAAGGTCCTGGAGGCCCCTAGGCCCCTAGGCCATAGTTCAAGAATCTTCCAGCGGCAGTGGGGACCTGTGGACTGCTACACAATGTTGCATCTCACATGGCTCATGAAGACAAGGAGGACCCACAGAAAGACAGAATCCTGCAACTTGCGCCGTGCGGAGGGCCAAACCCCACCTGAAACTTTTGCATCCTGTCGTAGCTCTCAGCCCTTTGTTCCTCACCAAACATTTGGTATCCTTTAGTAGTGCTGGCAAATGGGGGCCGAATCCACTCTGGTATCAGGTCATAATATCATCCTAATAGATCTAATAGGGATGGGCTTGTTTTGTTTCACTCGGCTGTGCAGATTCCTCAGAAAGTTGGTAGGTGACAGTGTTGCGTAAATCTTTCCACGCTCTGCACAACAAGCGCAGGCATCGAAGGGCACTCATTGTGGAGACCATGTCAGTGCCTCCGTGTTAAATGTAAATACAAACTCATACACCAAGCTAGTAGGTTGGAGGCCCTCGCTATTAGGTTTATATCCTTTTTTAAAGCCCGGGGGGGGAGGGTAGGCTGCGAGGCTGTCGAACCTTCTCAGGTCCAGAGAACTGTCCCATCCGAATGCACCTTCCGGGCGAAAGTTTGTGACTTAGAGTAATATTTGCATCAACACCTGTTCTCCAGTGAACAGACTTTTGCAATTTTTGTGAGGCTGTGAATTCACCTGCGTCAATGGATCGTTGGGCAGCTGCACAGACATGGCATCGAGCTTACGCATTTTTTGGAACATCCTGGAGGGCGCATGGACCCCTTGGAAGGCAATGAACGTGGCTGATGTGGCCAAAGGAATTTGCCAGGACCCGAGAAATGCCCCACAACTGTGAAGACCTAAGCTTTGCAAGTGAACTAGATCAGGCAATTTCAGCAGAACAGGTCTTGTTTGAACACAATTGCCTGTGACATCCTGTCTCTCAGGCAGAAGCTGCGAAATTTCAGGCTGCCAAGTTTGCAGTGTGGACCCCAGTCGGCATGAAGGAATCCAAGAATGGAGATGTACACGCAGCTTTTTGCGATTCATTTTTTGAACTTCCTTGGGTAGAGGCAGTACATGGCATTGCTGCAAGCGACATTTGTGTTCCCGACGGTGTGAGTACGCACGATGGCCGCAGGTCCGGAGGATCGCTGTACAACGCCAAGTGCGCGGTCGAATGTGCCAATATGACGCAACACATGCATTTATGATCGTAACAAGTTTAAAAGTATCATATAGTCATATACCGTATGCCAATATATAGATAGATAGATAGATAGATAGATAGATAGATAGATAGATTCTTTAGATAGATAGATAGATAGATAGATATGTATAAATAAGAAAATATAACATTAACATTAGCAACATTTTCTTTGATTGGTATTCTTCCAAACTCTTGGCACGCACGCGCTTGTAGTTTGAGAAGGCCGAACTATCTTGCAAGGGTTTGACCTTTTTCGTCCACCTACGGTGGTGCAGTGCATCGTAGATCAGAATGTTTGTGCCAGAAACATTTGGTCAGCAACCACAAGACGACCACCCCAGTCACCAAATTTCTTCCTGGCAAGATCATCATTCTGCGAATTCTTTAGCAGCATGGATAAAGTTGAGTTCCGCAACTGTCAGGATTCCGCAACTATCCGCAACTAGGATTCCGCAACATTGTGGATTCCCTCACTAGGATTCCGCAACTTTGTGAATGATGAGGGGGTTGGCGTGATGTCGAGATCACACGATGGGCACGAGGGGGGGTTGGGTGGGGGGCTAATGACGTTGGTTTGTATGTGCTTCCAAGATGATGTCACAGGCGCACACGCTATCGCATGATGTGGAGATCACCAGTTGCAAAATACCAGTTTCAGAATGTCAGTTGCAGAATCCGAATTTCCAGTCTCAGAATACCAGTTGCAGAATCTGACTTTCCAAGGTCTCAGAATATAAGTCTCAGAATTCCAGTTTCGGAATCCTAGTTTCAGAACCCCAGTTTCAGAATCCTAGTTTCAGAACCCCAGTTTCGGAATACCAGTTTCAGAATCCAAGTTTCAGAACCCTAGTTTCAGAATCCGACCGATTATATAGTTTCCGAATCCGGCTCTAACCGCCTGTAGCGAGGTCATGCAAGGTCACTTGAAATTATGACCAAAGTTATCAGAACTCAGTCTAGACGGCTTGCGTTTAGAAGAGGGAGAGAGAGAGAGGGAGAGACTGACAGCAAGACATGGCCATTTCATGGAAAGTCTTTCACTGGGCATTCAGGGAAATCCGTTCCCTTTTTGGACCATTCGAATGGCAAGGCAATGAGTGTGCAGTTGGCTTCTACCTTTCAAAGGCCCTATCTTGTGGCAGATTTAAAATGCAATCCCGCCCTTTTGGATTGCTGCATGAATTTGTCCCGAAGCTTTTGCCTGGATTCAGGATGGGAAGGCTTGCCACAGCAAGTACGCCTTCTTTGCTCCCTGCGCAAGCCCTGTTGCTTTGCTCCTCTTGGGTGGCCTGAGTAGGATACAAGACACGCTAGCTCAAACGCCAGCAAAAATCCAGGGCAGGGCCGGCAAAGAAGCGAAAACTTGAGGTGTTTATGCAATCTTGGGCGTGTTCTTGCTGACCATGGCCTCGTAGCAGCCTCAAGACGTTGTGTGGTCACGCGGAACTGCGCAGAGGATAGAACTGCATGAGGTGGTACCTTTGGTTGAGAAAGCAGCGTCGCACTGAGTCCACACATTGCAAGTTGAAACAGGGGCCCGAGCGGAGAGCAGGTTTGATTTTGCGTAGGGACTTTGAGCTGATCAGGCCAATCGTCAATCTAAGAGTGTTGAAGCGTGCGGTCATACGCCGCCACCACATGAACTTGCGAGCCTGATGCTAAGTGCCAGAGCTGCAACAAATGAAGATCGCACAGTCATAAGTGACCTCAATTGTTTCAGCGTGCTCCTTGCCAAGGATCACACTACGCAGCAGCACCCTTGGTGACCCACAGTGGGAGTAGAGGCGCCTCTTTACTGGGAGATGAGAGCTCTTGAAAAGCCAGGTACCCACTGTCAACCAATCTATGCCGTGCGAGAGCTGATGGGCACATTGTTGGGGGCAGGGCATTTTCCTCAAGGACCTGCGAGTGCACGAAGAGAAGAGCAAGCAAGTTGCATTTGAGGCCCTTTTGATGTTTTTCAGCTTTCAAGCCTTTGTGATCTCCTGGACTGCCTGAGCCTTCAGGAAAGGAGACATGACAAAGCTTGTTGGCACTTTTACAGAGTTGATCCTAATTGCTTGCCTTAGGTTTTTGCAGCATGTTCCTGGCTCATGTGTGCTTGGGCAACATTGCCCTGTTTGGAAAAATCAGGAGCTCTGTGAGAGAGATGCCCTGCTGCAGTGCTGCAAGTAGTGCTGCAGCTCATATCGAATTCATAGAACGTTTTGATGCCAGGTTTCAAAAGCGCCACTACTGAGTGAAGGCACCAGATAGACGATAGCCCCGGGCTGTAGCATGATCACCCCTGCCAGGCAAAGTGTCAGGAGTGAAAGAGGACATTTTCTCCATTTGCAATGCCACCTTGAACGAACTGGGAGGTGAAAGGCTGGCTGGCTATTTTTCAATTGCCATGTAGAATGACCCAACAAGTCGGTTTTTGTTGATCATTCGTTTGATGGCAGACAGGCAGTCTACAAAAGTGGGAAAGCTGGCTTACACTCTGGCACTGCACTCCAAACTCAACTCAAACGCTCCAGCAAAGAGGCAAAATAGTCGAAAAAACAAACCATCACTTCACGTCTGAAGGTATTTCTTCACAACTTTGGCGACTTTCTTCTATGCTGGAGCCCTGGCCTGAGCCATGCGTCACTGCATCATGTCGAAAGCCTCAGGCAGTTTCCCAGAGCCGTCGGCGCGTTCGTCTGGACACTGACGAGGAGTCTCTATGGTTCAAGGTGAGTCACATTGGACGTTTATGGAATGTACTGCCAGGCCACAATGAAGGATTTTGCGGTGATGCTAAAGGGCTTCCCTTGTGAGACCGGGAGTCAGGCCACGAAGTATTGCCACGGGAGGCTTCTAGGGCAGCATTGCCAGGCAAGATTGTTTCTCGGTTTCCACTGTCGTGCCACAACTCGCGCTAGGTCGAGCAGCAGCGTCTATCCTTTGTTCGCAAGACCACTGGGCCAGGACCTCTGGGTATTTGCGGCAACACTGCGCAGAACAAGCGTGAATGCACTTGGATTGAAAGGAAAGAATCAGACCGGGGTCATTTATTCACTTCAGAAAGCTGTAGGTGCAGCACGTAGACATGTTCAATATTGTTCAATCATGTTCATGCTCTCCTGCGTGGTCAATGCTTTTGGCCTTGCTGACAGTAGGACTCTGCTTTCCTTCGACACAGTAGCACTGAGGTGCCACCCCATTGGGGTCTCAATCTGCTGGGCATACAATGCCAAAGAGGCCCACAAGTCAAAGTCAACTTGGCAAAGTACTGCATTTGTCGAGCAGGTGACTGAGCTCATAGCCAGGGAAACCTGGCTGTGGGGCAAGGCTTCGCTTGTACGAACAGACATGAGATGACATCTTTAGACACATATTTTTCGGCAAAGCTATATTGTGAGCTCCGCACTGAAGTACTGTAGCAGGTTCGTGACAGCTGTGGTGATGTAAGGCAGGCAAACATGCCACCGTCTCAGTCCCGCATTCGGCATTCTGATTCTAGGCGAAAGCTCCTTGTCGATTGCACACACGCTATTGTTTTTTCTGCCAAGGCCATTGCAGCACAACGAAAGAAGCAAGAACCTTTAAGTTCGTTTGTTTTCAGACTATATCCGCATGTGCGGCTCATGACTCCCACCGCTTACACTGTTGCGTTCTCCTGTTGCGTTTGAGGATGTGGACTGATGCGGTCTTTCTTTCTGTTCCTCACGCACTTGATCGCGTGGATCTTGGACAATTTCTTCCGACCTGTGCAGTGATGAGTGGAACGTCGCTTTGCAAGGCACCCCCGACACAGCCTGAGGCGGGCATTGTCAAAGTGCCCTGAAGTGAAGGAAACACTGGAGCAGTTATATATGACTGTCTTAGGGTCTGGCAGGCTTGGGTGGACAGTTGTCATTCCATAGAGAGTTCAGAACCTGTGTCCATTTTGGCTCAAGTCTGATCCAAACTGGCAGGTTCTGTGTTTTCTTCAGGAGTGACCTGGCAGAAGACTTCATGCCAGCGAGGGTCAGGGAGGGGATTGATGTTGCCCTGTTTACGGACTTGCAGGTACTTACCCCGGCGGCATGGCTGGACTTCACGTCGCACATCGAGTCCATGTTGGCTGCTGGGAAGCGGGATTCCGCCTTGGTGCTCTGGGAGTCCGTGGTCGAGATCTTTCATGTGGGGTCCAGAGGTCCCCTGTTCCCGGTGCGAGCGACGCCTGGGAGGGTTCCGGTTCCCCTGGGTTGGGACTTGGACGCGTCGTGCCGTTGTGGTCCAAACCGGCGCTACACCGCAGAGTGCATGGGATGCCTATCATGCCAATCCGGCCACCTTCGACCTTTTGGGGCTGCAGATGGCTCGCAGCCAGCTGGATCGAGAAGCGATCTCGCCAGCACACGTTGATCGGCTCTCCACCCGCTTGGCCTATGACAGGGATGGCATTCCCTGGAGCCATGCGGTGGCCGTTTTCAGGATTTGGCAGGCGGGACGCCGTGCCTGGCGGGAGCCAACCCGCGTCGGATGTCCTCAGGCCGGGCAAGCCGAGCTCATCCAAGCCGGAGCGCTTCTTCGGCACCTTCTCGGAGCGACCGAGATCGACGAGCCCTTCATCCCTCCCTACTGCCTCATGTGTTGTTGTCCCACTCGGTCCGTCTGTCTGTCCTGCGATCGATCGGTGTGCGAGGACGGCTGCATCTGGACGTTCCAATGTCCGCTTTGCATGGGCAGCTCTAGCTCGGAGTAGCGCTGCAATCCTAGCTGGTGCCATGGCGTTCGATGGGCGCTATGCAGCTGAGGCGGTGGGAGCTATGCCGGGGTGGGACCCCGAGCGGGCCAACGCGCGGGTCGAGGAGCAACGCGCTCGGCAGCTGCGTGACCACTTTGGTTTGCAGCGAGATGAGGACCTGGCCTACGCCTTCGAGTCCTTTGAGGATGCAGTTCGGGCCGGAGGCCAAGCCCTAGCTGTGCGCCGTACCAAGGGAGTGACCCTCACGGGCGGTGCCTTTGAACCTGGGAATGTGATTCGCCGTGCTGAGGCCCTCAAGGACACATTTGTGGAGCTGGGGGTGATGCGACCGCATGCAGTGATGAACGAGCGGACGCAGAAAGAGTGGGAGCGGGCCCTCATGCGGCTGGCCGAGGAGAAGACTACCCACTCCGAACCCAGCACGATCCTGAACGCGGTCAAGACTTGGGTTGAACTCCGCACGTTCATGAAAGCTCGTGACAGGACCGTGGTGGAAGCAGTCGACTTGGCGGCTTTCATTCAGGACGGGACCCCAGGCCCATCTCGTGCCTTGAACGCATTGCGGTGGTTGAGCAAAGCAGGATCCTTGCAGTTCAACCTGACCAACATCGTGCTCCCCACGCCCAAGTCCAATCGGCAACGCAAGAAGCAACAGGCTATCGTGGTTGAGCCTCCCATGCTGCCTTTCCTGGAACAGGCCATCGCTCAATGCTGGGAGCAGTCGAACCCAAAGTGGTCCGCCCTATTGTCGTCATGGCTTATAGCTGTCGGAGTGATGAGGCACCAGCATTTGCTAAGGTCTGAGCCTGTGCGGTTGTCCCGGAGCACGTTGCACCTCTGGTGTGAAAAGGGCAAACAGTCCTCCAAGCGGGCGGCTTTCCATGGACGGTCCCAGCACACTTCGCCAACGGCTTTGGTTGGGCTGCAGCAATGTGCAGGCGAAGCGGGCGGGTACCCGCTGGCAAGCGTGAGTCTTGCGGCATCATCTTCAGCCCTGATGGTGTCGGATGGGCACTTCCTGAATGCCAACGATGCTGCCAAGAGCTGTTTGAAGGACATGCGCAAGACGCCAAGGATCTCACTTCGTACTCCTGGCGCCGGATGGGGCCGACCATTGGCCAGATCGGAGGGTTGGGTCCACTGGAGCTCAATGCGCTGGGAGACTGGGAGGACCGTTCGTCGATCCCGGACCCGGCGGCTATGCCAGTGCATTACAGTGGAGGCAAGAAAGCCACTTCGATGAGGGTCAAGCATTTGGCGTACCAACTTGGGGCGTCACTCCGAGAGCACCAATCCTTGGATGTCATCACACCATCCGAGTTGGAGGAAGCCAAAGCCTTTGTGATGCCGACAGTGGATCGCTTGGTGTCGCAGGACATGGACACGGAGTGGCAGGGCAAGCTCCCGGCTGAGCAAGCCAAGCGACCAGGGAGTCCGCCCGAGCAGCCCGTGCTTCCGCCGCAGCGGCAGGTGCTTCTCAAATGCCAGCCGCGATCAAGGGCAAGCTGCTGACCAAGTTCATGCGCAATGGGACACCTCTATGTGCCGACTTCCAGACGGACAGCTGCTCTCGTGATCCATGCCCTGAACAGCACTTGTGCGCCATTGTCTTGCAATCAGGCCGGGCATGCGGCGGTTCCCACAGTGCGCAGACCTGCTACGCCCGTCGGTCGGGCCCTGACGGACGAGCGAGCTGCCGCCAAAGGCCTGCTTCCCCTGGCCCAAGAGCCTGCGGTTCCCACTGAAGCCCCGGCCGAGCCAGCCGAAGAACCACAAGAGGAACCGGACTATGATCCCCCATCCGAGACAGAGTCAGAAGACCTCACAGTGGTTGCACCAGCGGAAGTCAAGGCTGCACCAAAGCCTCCATCACCACCGGCAGGCGAGATCATCAAGGGCATCCCACCAGCTGCAGCCAAAGGGCGGAAGCGATCCGCCGAGCAAGTGGCTCCTGCAGCGCCAGCCAAGAAGGTCAAGGAAAGTCCAGTCCCGGCGCCTGCCACCCCAGCAGCCGAGCCATCACCTGCACCGCCATCAGCCACAGAAGAAACCAGGTTTGCGATGCCACCAATTCCAGCCAGCTTTACAGCAGCCACCGAAGACCAGCAATGGGACAGGCTTGCAACAGTGCGAGGGAAGTCAGCCCAAGCACCCACGCTGCTGTTGTCCACTTCGGCCGGAGGAAAGCTATATGGTTGGGAGGCATCCCTACCCGTGCTTCAGCACCACACTTCCCACAGGTCACCTTGCAGGTGGCGTGCTTCCCAGAGCACCCCGGAGAGCCGCGGGGGCATCGTCCTCCCGAACGCGCTGCTGCGGCATGGCCGATCGCGAACGCCCAGCGGGCAGGAGCCATCTGGCGGGAGCTGTGGCCGCTCATCCGGCAGTCATTGTGGTGTGGGGAGAGCGTGTTGCTGCACTGCATCTCAGGGCGCCGCGGGGGGAGGGACCCTCTGCCGTGCGGTCATGTTGTCGGAGCCATGGGAAGAGAGCGCAAGGTGGCTGAAAACGCAGCGAGACACGGACCTGCCAGGGCTGATGCGAGACCAGAAGGTTGCAAGATTCCTTCGCGAA